TTTTTCTTTCTCTTTCTGGCTTACTACACCTCCCTTCTTAAAGTTTGGAAAACTAACACAAGAGTCAATAACAGAAACAGATCCATGTTGAATCTTATAAAAGGTTAATTTTTTAATAGAGAATAAAAAGCCAGGTAAGCTCCTTAAAATAGAAGAAGACCCGCTTACAAAACAGACGGAAACTTTATTTCCAGTGTAAAAGACATTAGGATGGAAATGTCAGCTGTCTTGATTGCGGTGGTGGTTTCATAGCTGTACACATATATCAAAATTCACCAACTTATACATCTGAAATATGTGTAGTTTACTGTACAGGAATCATACTGTAATAAAACTATTTTTAAAAGACATGAGAATGTATGAAGAATAGGAAAAAACAACATAAATAAGAACCAGAGAAAATCAGGAATGAAGTGACAAAATTCAGAAAAGACTCACTTCAGAAATGAAAGAAACAGAAGAAAAACAAGTGAGTAAACAGCATAAGTAGTACTGAGACAACCAGGGAAAGGAGGAAAACCAGAGATGAAGAAATAGAGAAAACAGGAGGAAGAACAGAGAAGACAGGCAGAGAAAGCTCAACAGGTCAGAACGCAGCAAGTGTCACCAAACAAGAAATCAGAGCATGAAGTAAATATTTAAAAATATAATTCAAGAAAATGTACCAAAATTTAAAAATAGAAGACCCACTATGCAGCTGGGAAAACTGACCCTGAATGACAAACATGGATACATATTTTGTAATTGTTAGACTTTTTTTAAAAAGAAATAAAGAAAAACAAAATATTCTTTGGGGGTCTAAAAAAAAAAAACGGTAATAAAAGAAAACTGTCACCAGATATTCTTGCCTGCAATACTTAATGCCAGTAGACAATAAGTATATTTAAGAAATCAAGAGGAAAAACTGTGAGCCATGAATCATATTCAGCAATTTCCAATCTAAAGGATGTAGATAAATTGTCAACTTGCAGGAACATACAATGGCCTTTCAATTGTTAAGGTGTAAGAGTTCTCCATATATTCTGTTAACTTTTTTTGGTATATATTTTTACTGAAGTATAGTCAATACTTATGACAATATTATGTTAGTTTCTGGTATACAGCACAATGCTTCAGTCATACATGAACATACATATATTAGTTTTCATATTCATTTTCACCATAAGCTACTACAAGATATTGAATATAGTTCCATGCCCTGTACAGTATGAACTTGTTTAAATCTTTGTATATTCTGGATACTAGACCTCATTAGATATATGATTTACAAGTATTTTCTCCCAATCTGTAGGTTGTCTCCTCACTTTGTTGATAATTCCCTTTGATTCACAAGTCTTTGATTTTGATGTTCAAGTTATTTAATCTTTCATTGCTCAGGTTTTGGTATTATATCTAAGAAACCATTGGCAAATCCAAGGTAATGAAGATTTACCCTATGTTTTCTTCTTAAGATTTTGATAGTTTCCGATCTTTCATTTAGGTCATGAATCCACTTTGTTAATTTTTCTATATAAACTATTTGTGAAAATGTACAAATTTCACATTTTTTCCAAATAGGTATTCAGCAGTCACAGAATCATTTGTTGAAGTGACTATTATTTCTCCAAATTGCCAGAGAAATTAGGCAAGAAAAAGTTAAAAAAAAAAAAAGCACGTATGAAACTTGAGGACATTATGTTAGGTGAAATAAACCAGTTGCAAAAAGATAAATACTGTGTAATTCCACTTATACGTGAAAGTCATAAAGACAGAAAATAAATGGTGTTGCCAGGAGCTGGGGGAGGACAGAGTGAACAGTTAGTGTTTGGTGGGGGCCAAGTTTCATTTTTATAAAACGAAATGTGGGGATGGATGGATGGTGATGGTTTCACAACAATATGAATGTACTTAAAACCACTGACTTGTACACTTCAAAATGGTAAATTTTACACAACGCTGTAAATAACTATACTCCAATAAAAATTTTTAAAGTAAATTTTGTTATGTGCATTTTACCACAATAAAAACAATTAAAGAGAAGTTTAAGGATGTGTCCATTACAAGTTCCAAGAGGAAACATTAGGGATAATTAGGGTGAGGCAATATGTTTTTTTAAAAAGTCGAGAATTTTTCAGTATTAAAGAGTGAAAAATGTATATTAATTTCTGAACAGGACAATTAAAAACAAGTCCTCAAAGAAACAATCATGGTAAAATGGCAGAATATCTACGACAATAAAAAATTTCCTAACAGAAAAATTAAAGTGTTTACACAAGAAGTCAAATTAGAATAATTATAAACTCCTCCTTGGTACACTCCATAGCTGAATATGATGCTTGATTGATTTTTTATCTCTCTTCACTTTCTCCCAATAACATTTAAGATGAATGCTATGATTTCCTATGAAACTTTCTGCAATGATGGAAATATTCTGTATCTGTGCTGACCAATATGGTAGCTACTAACAGTGACAGAGTTTGGGTAACTTGCTAGCTTGCGATAAACTTAAGATTCAAGAATATGAAAACAAATATATGTATATTAAGTATGACTGAAGAATTGTGCTGTACACCAGAAACTGACACAACATTGTAAACTGACTACACTTCAAAAAAAAAAAAGTAAAATCAAGATTCAAAGGCAGGCAATATGGCTCCAAAAGTTGTATTCGTAGTCACAGCGCTTCTGTGCTTTTCTACAAGTGGTAAGTCCTTAACTATCAAAAGATCTATAATAAATAACATTGTCTTGTTATTTATCAGTTTCACAAATTTTTTTTTTATTTGGACCAGACAACATTCTGTATTATTCTATTACTAAATAGCAAGTGAGTCTGAGGGAGAGTAAGATATGGTCAAGGATTTGTGATTAGCAGTAGACTAAGAATTTGAATGCAAATTATCCTGCCCTGGGAAGTTTAAAGTAAATCCATTATATCATATTGCTTCTTTAGTTGCTCTTGTGGTCTGTATAGGAAAAATTCTCTACTTCAATAAAGAAAAATTATATAGAATATGAATTTAATATGACATTGAATTTATTGAAGTATATATTTTCACTAATGAATACGTTTTGCTGTTCTGTATTAGTAACATTCTCTGAAATCATGGCAGCATACCCAGGTAAGGGCTTTCATTGGCAAACGGACCTGGTACTCTTGCCATTATCAGGGAAAACAAGTGTTACCAGTTTTTCATCTTTGAACCTATCAATGCCAGAGAATTGTTAGCTAAACAGTGCTTTGGATAAAACATGACATGTGGCTACTGAACGTAACATTATACAGTCCCTACTTTAAATTTTCTCTAGAGTTTTTCTCTATTAACTCAACGGACCTCTGGCTTTGCATTTACACGTACTTAACAGAAAAGGGACGATATAATGTACATCAGCTATTAAAGTGCTGGCATTTATTTCCAACCAATAATTGAGAACTTAATTAAAATCCTGGTGACATTAAGAAAACCATGCGATACAGTACTAACTACAAAACATCATACACGACGCTCATCAGTCCATTGACATGCTTTTGCCTCAGCAGATCTGTCACTCAATAAACCTGTATCTTTACCATCCCCCAGAAGAGGTAATCAAAGGGGGCTCAATCTGCTTTTAAAACATAAATAAAGAAAACATGTCATCTGTACTTCCAGACAATGGCCATAGGGTGTTTCACCAACTTCTACTAAACCCAACCGCACCGGCCGCAGTCCCA